ATACATGAAAATAGATTATTTGTATTGTAAAGAGAAGATTTAGGCACAGAATCAAATAAATCATCAAATTATTCTAACAAGAACCATGTTAAAATTTGATAATCATAAGGTGTTAGATGAGAATGATTATCAAAATTGATTGAAAGCCACATGATTGTCTCTTCTTGCATTAAGAGTTGAACATATGTTACATTAAAATCTAATTTACTCATAAAGTATCTCATTGGCCGGAGATACCATCAGATGATGCAATACTAATTCAATTTCTTTTGAATTAACATTGCATCGTTTTTTATTGCTTTGAAAACTAAACTGGTGGAGCTGAGCAGAAATAATTTATCACATGGTAAATCTCTTCAAAATCTACTTGTTTAGTGATGAGTATTTATCTATTTATTTGAATCAATAGTCAAAAGAGTATCAAGTTTAATAAAAAAATGAAATAACCAAAATGATCTAAGTCATTTATTTTATATAGATTCTGATTGTTTTCATTAAATTAATTTTTAATGTATGTTATTTAGATATTTTTTAGAAAATAGATTATTAATTTCTTAATAAATCATATAGTTTTTTAATTCTGTTTTTTTTTTATACCTTTGAATATTTGCATCAATTTATTAATTGTTATTAAACAAGTCTTTTCATAATATTTGTCGATCGAATTAAAAGCTAATAATTTGAAAATAACAGGATGTAGATGAGTTTAGCAGCAACACGAATTGTCAACAAACAAATATATGATGATTAATAAGTACTGCTGTGCTAATAGAGTCGCAAATGTTTCTTGAATGATAATGAGAATTGACAAAATACTTTTTGTTGACAAAACATCGATTAGATGACCTCAGAATGGGAAAAATCAAAGACGAATAATATCAATACAAAATTTGACGAGAATTGATTCAGTTTTTATAATTGATGATGATGTTACTATAACGGGAGTAAGCATTTCTTCATTGAATAAATTGAAATCAGTTTGCACTGCAACACCAGAAACTATGTGAATATTAAGCTTATTAGTATTCATAAGAGAATCAGCTTCTAAATTAGAACTGACAGAGAAGCAGTGAACATAACTACGATGGCACGTAGCACAAATAGTAGAATTCAGTTTTCATTGACGACAACGATAATCAGGTCAACATTTTTATGAGTACGTATAGCATATATTAGAATTAGTTTCTCGAAATGAACGACAAGAAAAGAATTTGCATTTACTTATTGAAGTTATCGAAATGATACAATGTGAATAGAAATTTAAACAGTTACCACGCTCGAGTACAGCAAGAAAAAAAAGATTTTAGTTGACTTAAAATATAAAAAGTAAGGCGAAAAGGGAACAAAGAAGAGAAAAATCATGTAGAGATAAACGTTTTTAATCGCACCCTAGCTGTTATTCACTGTAGTATGTAATCTTTCATTTTACTATGCGCTTTTTGTCTCATAATAATCATTTGACTATTAGCAGAGTCGACTAGGAATAAATCTGTGACATATAAGAATATTCTGATGAAGCTTAGCAGCTTAAGGTATTTGAGATTTTCGAAAAACTACCAAAATATTGAAGTTTAGAAGTGACAATAGTTTACTAGATGTTAAGTTTTAGATTGAAAATAGTTTTATTCGAAAGAACACATTGAATTACGTATCTTGTACAAAAAATACCCTTATTTGTAACAATCTGATCTAATCGAATTAGTATTGAAATAGGAAAATGAATTATGCATTGAAATTCGATTTTCGATGGACTTCCAGGTCACAAAATAGTTTTGCATAGCATTCAGAAAGTGCTTCAGGGTTTTTTCTCTTTTGAAAAGAAATGTGATATGTATAATCAGCATCGTCAATCCTATCGAACTTAAAAGACGTCTAGTAGAGAATGGCGACATAAAATATTTTTCGATGTATGACGAGAAATCGGAAGTGTGAAAAATTGAATTACGACGAAATAGAAAGCAAGCATATGAGAAATAATCAGAGTTTTATGCGAATTTTCAAACTAATAAAATCAGTATGAGATTTTTCTATACGCCAAATTAGTAATTTGATACATCTCCTTGGTAAATATAAAAAAGTTGTGTTATGCTGGAAGTTCGATTGATACAATAATTGATATAAACAACAGAAGTAAAAAAAAATAGTTTATTTAAATGTTTCTATTTTGTTTTTTTTTTATTAGAAGGCCATGCCAAAGAGTATGTTATGTTAAGATATGTCAGAAAAGTAAAATTTTCAGTTCTTCTAATAAGAATTTGTCAATCTCATAGATGTGTGTCTTCAATAAGAAGTATAAATTTTTCTGTCAGTTAAGCATTCATCTGAAAATCTCATTATGTTGAAAGAAAATAAATGTTAGTTTTTCTTTTCTTAAAGTCTATTCAATCATAAATGATCATTCTTGACAACTGAACAATTTTTGGATGAATACTTCTTTTATTTGAATTCAAAGCGATCTTTATTATGTTATACATAAACAAAACAAAAACTTAATTAGTATTAGAAAATATTACTTAATTATTTAATCATATTCAGTTCTATCTATTTCATTTTAAATAAAACTAATGCGAAAGATCTCTTCTAAAAACAATATTGACTATGATTCGATTAGAAGAGAATATGGAATAAATGACATGTTCTTGACAGCTCTATCTAAAATAATTGCTTATCTGAAAGTGAGTAAATTGGACGAATGTCTTTAAGTGTGTTCAATATATTATGTGTTATGTTTAGGAGATTTTTAGAAGAAGAAAATGAATAGACTCCGGTTCTTTTTCTCATCATATGAGAAAGATTTTGTCTCAAAAATTTTCGTTTTCTTTAATAGTCTTTTATTTGTTTTCATTCTTATAATAAGCCATTACATCTAGTGCATAAGGTTATACTCAGTTTGAATGGTGTGTATGCTTGAAAAAACATTTAATATTGGCTGTATTTCTTTTTTATTGTTCGATTTAAGACGATGAATAGGAGAGCGAGAAAGAAAGACGCAAAAAGAATATTATCGTCTATAGGAACGTATTTCAATATTTTATTTTTGACAGTAAAAAAAATACTTGACAGGGGTCAAGTTATTCAGTATATGATTTCTTCATTTATTCTATTCGATTTAGTGCAGCATTAAAATAGCATTTATATATGTGCATGCGTAGTTCATAATCACCGTAGATAAGTTCGCCTAGGCTAATCTATTTTTCCTTCTGTTTCTTCTTTTTTTCTTGCTGGTTTTTGTATTATAGAATTGATTAAATTAAACTGCGCATCTGATGCTGACTACTAGCATAAGTAAATATAATTTTAAAAAACAATAGAATGAAACATGATTTAACGAGTAAGGATCAGATTTCAATCGAGAGTTTTGTAAATATGATATTGAGCACGAAATATTTTAATTAGACACAAAATAGAAAATGAAAACTATAAAAGGGAATCTTTTGATTATGATCAACGCAATGTAGATGAATGTAAGAAAGAGAATACGTCAAATTTAAGAGATTAACAGGTATATACATATATATATGTATATATGTATATATATAAACCCCTATTAGGATAGTAAATGAACTAAAACCGATACACAGATTTTTCGGCATATTACATGAATAATAAATATAATTTTAACAGTTTCTATCAATTTTTTTTCTCATTTAATATATTCATCAATGGGAATATTCCTGCTAAAATAATATCAATATATTACATTAGAATAAATTTGCAATTTATTTTCGATTTTCATGAGTCATACAAATTACCCTGATATATCGAATTCATTCTTAAGCACATAAAAATGAAGTAATTGACATCATAAATATTAGAAGTAAAAGGCCATGTGTTTGATTATGATCTCTTATTGGAGCGAATAAAAAAAATAAATAAATAACTTATCCTACATTTCTTTTTTTTTATTACGAGTAGTGTAGCTCATTATACATTGATTGATGGCGATTGATAATCATCCAACGAATGATATATGAGCATGATGAGTATTGCCAAATTATTCATTAACTATTCGAGTAGTCACATCACGTTTTATTTTTCTTTACTACTCACGCAAATATTGCAAATTTACCATAGATTAGTATTTGTATAAATTTCATATATAACAAAAAAACATCGATAGATTTCTATCAGTAGTAAGTAAATATCATTGAATGTTTATCAAGTAAGTCAATTTATTATTCGAAATTACGTGGGTGGGAAAAAAACTTTCAATTGAAATTAAAACTGAAATTCTTTTTATGTAAATTTTAGACAAGAAATCTAAACGTAGAACTTTCAACATGATTCTCTCCAGATAATATATATCTAATTGAATGTTTTTCATGTGAACAGTATCGAATTAGATTGAAGAAGAATAAAAAAAGAAAAAGAAAAAGAAGTATACTTATGTTAATTTGACTGGAAAAGTGCAGAGAAACCTTCGATTTGTTAATCAAATCTGTTATTTAGATGTTTATCTATGTGATGCAGAAAACATGTCTATGATAATATTGACATATTACTTGTACAATTTTTTATCCGTTGTTACCAAATTAATTCTATATGTCTAATGATGTCAGATAACGAAATGAAGAACACACTGATATTATTGGGTGGTTTGAAAAATTTATGTAGAACATTTCATTTAATATTTGTTATGTAAAGAATGTTATATATCACGATTTTTATCAGTATTTATTTCTTGCTCAGAGTTCCCTTTTTTTTATCTCGTTCATCTGAAAATTACTTTGTGTCAAACGTTTTGAACACTTAATTAATTCAAGATTTTTTTTTATTAATAAGTAATGTTTATTGATTTGTGATGATAGTTTTTATTTAAATAGAAGATTAAAAGAACTTTCGATTGCTATTGTAGATACAAACAATAAACAAACATCGATACTTATAATAACAATACATAAAAAATACTTCAATTGTTCTTAAAATATGATAACGTTTATTTTCTAATTCAGATAATTGACCGTCCATATATTAATGATATATGTTAATATTATTGACTAATGTCCGAATCAATAAACGAAACTTCAGCATCTGATGGCTCATATTGTCCTGCTATATTTGAATATCTTTGTTGGCCACAAAGTGATGCTGATTATTTAGTGAATATTTCATGTGGTGTATTACGTCATCCGGGTGTTGATTCATCGAGTTAATATTAATAGTTTTTGAAATATCGATTAAAAAATGTGTTTTTTTTTTCTATAGAATTTTTTAGTCGATATTGTCTTCCATCGGGTAAATGGTCTAATGTTAGTTTTGCATCATGTTTTTATCGCGATATTTTGGCTTTATTGGATAAATCATATATTCGAAGGCCACCAGAAGAAAGAGAAGTTTGTAAAAAAATTTTTGTTGATTTTCATTTATTCGACTAATTTATTTTGAAAAGGTTTTTGAAAGAATTGTTCGAGTTCTTCGTTATGTTGAATTAGCTGGACTATCTATATCATTTACTAGTATTCTTATTTCACTTTTTATATTTTTTTCTTTTAAGTAAGTTGAAAGGAACAAAAAAAATCAACAAATTAAATATTCTTTTAAATAATTAATTTAAATAGAGCATTATACAATAGTCGAACAAAAATTCATATAAATCTTCTATTAGCAATTCTTATTCAGATAATTGCTCGAGTAACAACATATGGGTATGTATTCGTTTGAAGAAATTCTTTTTATCTTTAAACAAATGAATTTTAATTTAGACTTCAAATGGCTCAGTTAAAAAATTCACCAAAAAATGAATGTGATGTTAATGGAAGTATTTATCCATATCCAACAAGAACTTTATTTGATAGCATTTGTCCATTATTTATTGCATTTTTACAATTTGGTATAACAGCTATGTTTATGTGGATGCTTTGTGAAGGAATTCATCTGAATAGTATTTTAACAGTTAGTGTTTTTAAAAATTATTTTAAAACATATTATTTTCATATTATTGGCTGGGGTAAAAATATCGATTTTTATTTATAATTTAAAATTTTTGTATTATTTAATAGTTCTTCCATTTTGTTTAACATTAAGTTGGAGTATCGTTATGTTTATCAAACAACGTGATCGCAGGTAAATTTAGATTAGAGAAAAAGAAATGTATATGTTACTTATATAATTAGATGTTTTTATAATTATAATCATTTAAAATATTATTGGATTATTGACGGGCCTCGATATGCAGTAATGATTGTAAGTATTTTCTTTTTTGTAATTTATTTCTAAAATCAATGTTTTTTTTAAGATAAATATAATTTTTTTATTGAATATTACTCGAGTTTTAATGGTTAAAATCAAACAAGGTTCAGAAAACCAAATACGTGAAGAGTAAGTTTTTAGATGGGTAAATTAATTTGAAAAAATACCTAAATAAAATTTACTCTGTTATTTCATTACTGATGATAATTTAAATTGAAATCTTTTTTTTTTGCTTGTTTAAATTTATTTTAGCAAACGTCGTGGTTCAGCAAATGCGAAAACTGTTCGGTAAGTGTTTTAATAATTTATTTTATTAATTATAAATTTTGATTTTTAGGAAAGCGTTTAAAGCAGCTATTTTTCTATTACCTTTATTAGGTATAACATATGTACTTGAAACATTTACTTCAGCAGGTAAGTAATGAGAAAAAATAACTGCTGAATAATTTTGAATTCTTTTTTTTTAATGCAAGATGACAAACCACTAACCGTGTTTGCTATCTATAGCTCAGTGAATGTTTTCTTAATGACACTTCAAGGATTTTTTTGTTCATTATTGTATTGTTTTCTTAATGCTGAAGTAAAGTTATATTTAATTAAATTTCTCTTTTTTTATTGAGATGATGAAATTAATTTATTAAGGTTCGTGAAATATTGTCTCGACGTTTTCAAACAACACAATTTTGGTATCGTTGGAAACGATATTTAGCAAAGAAAGATCAATTTCGAAATCGAGCAGAGAGTGATGAAAATCGAACACATTTAGATTTATATGCACATAATTCAATTTTACCTGTAAGATCTATGAAGAAAACTAATTTTTTATTATTTAATTATTAAATAGAAAAAACCTCCAATCAAATTAGAAGAACATCATTTAACATGTGACATCGATGAAAATATTCAAAATTAACTTTAATCATTGATTTTATTATTAAATCATTTGGTGAACAAATTTTTTTTTCTTTTGATTTTTATTGATTAAACAATGTATTTTATTTTATTTTATTTTTTCTTTTCACTTTTTCAAATGAGTGAAAAGTATAAATATGTAAATCTTTCTCATAATTTATTGTTTTCGCACGTTGTACGTCCAAAAAATTTTTTTAAAATATAATTACTCAAACGATGATCAGGAGTACAATCATAAGTAAGAATTGCATTAATACGTGGTAATTTTGATAAACAAACTTCAGTTATACGATGTGGATAAGTTCGACCATTGAAAAGCACAAGACCACCAGCTTGAAAATCATTTCGACTAATTATTTCATTATTCTTTGTTTTATATTCAAATATACCTTCATTAGGATTTGATGATTGTTGTAAAAGAAGACTAATAAAAAAATGTGAATGATCAGTATGCCAACTAAGTTTATTTGATTGATTATAAATATTTATATATAAAGCACCTAATTCATCACAACTTGGATAAAGATGTGGATATATTTGAATTATATCTGTTATAAAATTAATTAATGGATTCCATGAATAAATTTTACGAAGAAGAGATTCATTTGGAATTTGATCAAAAGCAATTATTGTTTTACTACTTGATTCATGTTCATTTATACTTGTTTCGGAATTTGATGTACTATAGAGATTATCTGTATGTTCGACATATGAATTATATAATATTCGAGATGAATTTGTTAATATAGAATTAATTTCATTAAGAACGTTTGAACGAGTTTCTGTTGTTAAAAAATGAGGAAGATATAAACAACCAGTTGAAAGAAATTCTTTACGACTATTTAATATTAATTTACTATAAGCATTTGATTCACGATCATGTAAAGGATAAGTTTTGCAATTAATTAATGTATGAGTTCTACGGAATATTGATTTAATAATTTGAAATGTTGAAGAATTTCGTAATAACATTGCTGCTTATATTATTTTAAATTTTATATTTAAATTTGATTTAAACAATAATAACGAATGTGCTTGATGGTAAATGATAGATAAGATAGCTTTTTTTTTGAAGAAAAGAAAAAGAGATAACTATCATTTAAAATTACTATCTTATCAAATTAAAATGATTATCATTTGTTTAGTAATTTAAAGTTAGAAAAAGATTTTATTCATCATTAGCAGAAAAACGAAGAAAGTATCGATACAAGACATTAGGTCAAAAATCGTTTTTTTTCACTTCGTCCATCCTTCCCCTTCCAATCGGGATTTGTTCGATTTTTCTTCTTCCTCTAGGTTCTCAATCTTCAAATTTTTTGTAACCAAAAACCTCAGTTGTTCCATTGTATTGTCCTTTCTTTCTATTCAGTCACAATTTGTTAGCTAAGGAGAAAATTTCTTCAGCTGCCCCTTTCCGTTTGCAATGATTTTTTTGTCTATAGACACTAAATAGTGTTCTAATAGAAAACTTGAAAAGATTTGGATTCCTATTGATATTTGACTAAGCTAATTAATTTATAATAAATACATTTTCTAGAAGACCTTGTAAGATGCTATGTTTTCGAAAACGTCGTATATTTTTAATTTTTATCTGAAAATTGGCACGTATCGAGAACTCAACCAACCTAACTTCTTTCAAAAAATTAACAAAGTTTGAACAAAATCTCTGCAAGATATGAAGCTTTCACAAAGTATATGTTATATACACTTTTCATAAAAAAGAGTCTATATCTTGAAAGTCTCATATCTCGAAGGACCTTGATTTAAAGATTCTGAATGTTTTTCATAGAAGCTAATCTAGTTGAGTTTTCTATATGCGCAAAGTGTTAGATTAAAAATCGAAAATATTAGTTTCCCAAAAATCTGGAAGCTCTAGAAAAGAAAAATATTAAGAGTTTGATAGCTTAATCAAATATCTACAGAAACCTGAATCTTTTTAGGATTTTTTTAATTAGAACATTGCGTAGTATCTATAGGTAAAAAAGTCATTGAAATTAGAAGAAGGGAGCTGAAGAAGCTCCCTCGTAGGAATATGAAAAGAAGAAAATGAAATACATAGTCAATGGATATTGATGACGACGTTTTATTAATACAATAAAATCGACGAAGAAAGAAAAATCAGTAACGATAGAGATAATCAATATCAATAAGTGGAGAAAAACCAATAGCAAGAAGTGATTAAAAAAAGAAACCACCTGTATTGTATTAATCAGACAGAGAAAGAAAAGAATAACTGAGACGAGGAAGCGAGAGACCAGTGATCAGTAACTAGAACAGTTAACGGTAATAGAGTGACCTCTATTGATGCTAACAAAAACATATGTGTTACGCTTAATATACTTTATTCATTTAGAAAAAAAGACACCATAATATTCTTATGTGGAATACTTTTAGAAACGCTGTCAAAACTTGCCAAAAATTCGTGAGAAACAGCGAAAAAATTGATAGCAAGCGCTCGGACGTCCATATACGTTTGACTCCGGTCGTTCTCTCTGTCCAGTTTTGATCGATCTCTGCTTCCTGATTTTTCTTGAACTTCCTTTATGAATAGTTCAAAATAAAGACGAAAATATTTGCTTAATTTTTTCAATAAGATTAGTCTTCATTCAAATTTTATATTTTGATGATTTTTTTTGTATTTTTAAAGATTTGAAAACGATAAAATAATTGAAGTAAATCAGATAAATAAATCATGTATTTCTTCCATAGAATTTCATTAAAACAAATATTAGATAATTAATTTGTAAGAGATTTACTAGCGACATAGACATTTGACATTAAATGTCGATAGCGAAATCTCAATATTATTCTAGCACAAGTTGTCAGCTCTGAAGATTATTTCAAATTAAACCCAAAGCAATATATATATACTCGTGCTATAGTTTTCAATGTTAACAGAATAATCATAATTTACAAACAATAAAATGATATGATAATTGAAAATTCAATAATGAATGAAGAATGTATTCTTTTAGTAAGATTCGAACCCATTTTATACATGTTCCTAACAGATGCACTCTTTTGTATGTCAAAATAAAATTATTCTTGTTGATGACTGCATTGTCAATAAGAACTGAACGATGAGCCCAGAGCCAAATTATTATTTTGAATCAGTAGTATGTTGAGTATTATGATTTTTCTGCATCCATTCATCATTATTCAGAATGATGCTCAATCTTTATCAATTATTCACAATCAATAGGAATAGACATAAATGATAAGAGATGTACCAGCAAAAGTTCCTGTTTTTGTTATATCTGATATGAATTATTGTTTTTCTATTAGAAAGTAATTGTTTTTTTTTGCAAAGTTCAAATCAAGAATGTCTCAAGGTCACCAGAATGAGCAGCTCGATGGTTCATGAGATTAATTGAAAAATTTTTGCTAAAGTTGACTGGATTTTGATGGAATATTGAAAGCTTTTTTTGTAAATCAATGAGTAAATAAACAATAAAACACTGAAACTTCCTTGGCTCTTATTCAACTAAAAAAAATTCTATTCCTAAAATTAATCCTTTGAAGATGACTCAAATTGATTAACGGTAGAACAACATCTTTTCTTGTAATGCCAGAAACAATTGAGTATATTTAATTTTTTCTTTTCCAAAAATAAAATTTCTCATTTCATTCTCTTTTTATTCTTACTATCTGTTCATCAACTCGTTTCAAAAAACTTTTATCGATTTCTTTTTTCACATCCATACATCGATATTTATCATCACCAAAGTAATAATATAAGTCACGACAACTATTCCATCTATTTCGTGTTTTACAAATTCCAATAAAAGAATACAATAAAAATCAATAAATAAATATGAAAATGATCTCATTAAAAGATTTATCTAATGAACTGTTTTTTTATTTAACAAAATATTTTAATTATTTAAATAATTTTTTGAAATTCAATAAACGATTTAATATTCTTCTTTAAAAAGATATTCATCATATTAATCTATTATTAATATTAACAAACAAATAAATTACGTTAAGTTTGAAAAATTTATTTTTTGAATATAAATTATTATATTTGTTTTTTTAGCAAATGATAATTATCAAATAGAAAATAATTTTCTTGAAAAAACAAATTTTTATTCAAATAAAAGCTTTATATCGAAATAAACTTATTGATAATGGAGTTTATTTACCACACGATTCATTGTAAAGACTAAAACGAAATATTGATATTAAAGAATTTATTCAAAAAGAAATAAACAATGGAAATTCTTATCAAAATCTTTAAAACGATTTTGATATTAGATTGGACAAAGAAGAAAATTCTAAATTATATTTAACATACGCATGTTTTTATTTTTAAGAAACATTTATTTTATATTTAGTTGTTTATTAAATCAGCGTGTTTTANNNCTCAGAAAGGTTTCCTGAGTGAGATAAGAATCTGTATTTATATCGGAAGCAATTCGTGTTCTATACATTGTGTTTCTGCTTGGTACACCTGTCATGGCAAAAAATGCTCCATATACCTCTTCTCTCTCCTGGTTTCTCTCTGTTCTAACCACGTATGTAAGCGTCATTCCACATGTGCTCAAACTTTCTCTCTCAAAATTGGCACGATATAATTTTTGTAATTGTTGATTATTGTATTTCTTTCATTATATTTCTTTTTTCTTTGTTTTTTTTTGATAAACTAGATAACAAAAAAAAGTATAGAATTTCACCATGGGAGGCTGTAGCAGAAAAATTTGTCGACCAAACATGTTTGCTGAAAACTGTTGAACTTTCAATTCGTAAACAGTTATTAAAGTATGCTTTTATTTCTTGTTTTCTTTTTATAAAGAAATAAATTTTTCAATTTCTTTTATAGATATTGTGATTGATATGATTTTTTTTCTACTATAGTAAAGAATTTTAAACAAAAGCTGGAAAATTCATGTGAAGTAAGTTATCTTTATTTAATAGAAGGAAAAAGAGAAGGGTGTGGGTGTGGGTGTGGGTGTGTGGTGTGGGTGTGGGTGTGGGTGTGTGGGTGGGTGTGGGGTGTGGGTATGGGTGTGGGTGTGGGTGTGGGTGTGGGTGTGGGTGTGGGTGTGGGTGTAGGTGTGGGTTTGGGTATTGGCGAATAGAATCCTGTAATCACACCCACACCCTCAAGATAGTTGGTGTGGGCAAATAGAATCCTGTACTCACACCCACACCCACATCCCACACCCAAAATCTTCAACAGTTGAACACATTCGAGCTGCTCGAAGTAATGCATTGTTAATTATATTGACATGAACATCTCGTGGATGATCAGATTCATAAGGTAGAATATAGGGTTCTGAGGCTGATTTATGATAAATAGAAGTTTTTAAATCTCCATTGTTATCTTGTATTGTAACATTTAGATAATCTAATGATTGACTAATTGTAGTAGTAATTTTAATATTTGAATCTGTTTTTATTGTTTCATCAAGTACTTTTAGAATTTCATCTTTTGATAAATTAGTTGTCATAAATACATCGTCTATATATCTGTAAGTGTTTATTATCATAACTGTAAAAGAACAGAGGAGTTAATAATTTAAAACTTACCGTCCATAAATTCTATAATGTAGTTTTTGATGTTGAATTAATTTTTGTTCTCAGTCTAACATATAAAAATTAGCAAATACCATAGTAAAAGGTGAACCCGTGGCACCAACTTTTATTTGTCGATAATATTTATCTTTATAGGTGAATGAATTTGTATCTAAAACAACGCATGCTAATTCAATAATAGTAGCTGTTTTGAGATTTCCAATTTTGCCATTTATTGTATAGTTTTCACAAAATCGAGTTAAAGACGCAATAGCATCATCACGTGCACTCTGAAAAAAAATAGTTATACTACCGAACCGTTTTAATTTCCGCAGCAGCTACGAAACCTAAAATGGTTCTTATCGTGGGCACACGCGCAAAACATTTGCTACCAAACCTTTTTAAGATCAAAGGGACCCAAAAAAGTTCGGTATGAAAAATACGAAACCATCCAGGCTCGAAACGAAGCCATAAAGGTTTCACATCAAGCCATGAAGGATTCGTTTCGAACCTGGACGGTTTCGTAGCAAAGATTCCGCGTGTGTCCCCAGGATAAGAACCATTTTAGGTTTCGTAGCTTCTGCGGAACTTAAAAAGGTTTGGTAGAGTACCGATTTGTTTAGAGAGTGGTATCATTGTATATAAATCAATCACATCAAATGTAAGAAATAATGTTGATGAACTGAGATAACCTTGTTGTTGATATTCTTCCAATTTGCGAACAACATTTACACTGTTGATGAATGCAAAATATCTTTTGTCACATAGTTATAAATTGGTGTAAGAAGTTGATCAAGAAAACTTGATATTTGTCTAGCTGGTGCATTGATTGAAGCAAGAATAGGTCGAATTAATATTTCAGGCTATAAGAAACATATGATAGAATAATTATCAGAAAAAGAAAAGAATCATTTTACCGTATGTACTTTAATATTGAAATAAATATGAGCTAATTCTAATGTTTTTAAAATTGGATACATTTGTTTGTATTGATCTTTCGCAATTTCTTTGTTTCAATAAATCATCCAGTAGAGTTATTACAGAATGTAAATCATCTGCTAATGCACATATACCATTTGTGATTTCTTGATAAGCATTTGTTTTTATCATATAATTTTTAATTTTTTCTCCGTATTCATGTGCATCAATAAGAAAGAATAATTTGTTGTTATCAGTTTGTCCAACACCAATATTCATTTTTCGTAATTGGCGTTGTATTGATTTTATCATTCGACAAGGTGTGGGTCTTCATCTTAACTCCAACAAAAACCACTCCCACACCCCACACCCACACTCAACATCGGCATGTGTCCAATTGAAAGCTGAACTGGTCGTCTACTGAAGGCCAATAAAGCACTCGACAAAATTCTAACTTATTTTAGTTGGAATAAAGCGTACATGCTACTGCACACACTTTTGATTGGAAAAATTACTCAAGAATAAAAATATGAACACAGCATTTCAAGGATGGGGGTGCATGGGTCTGAGTGTGGGTGTCAGAGATGGAACCGATTACAGATAGGTCTACTAGTAATAAATAATGCATTAATAATTCGCAGCACCAGAGAAAGAGTAGTTTAGATATGCAAAGTTCGGTTTATCGCGTGGCAAACTTGATGTGCCAAGCTCTATCACACACCTTCTATAGAGATGGACCCAGTTTGAATCTTTGACGACTGGTACCACTCTGAAAAGTTCGGGCAGATCGATCTACTGGTTACCAAGCGGTCTGAAACTCGTAAAGGTACCGGTTTCTTTTCTGTCACACACCCGCCCACACTCCACTCGCACCCACATCCAACACCTGCATCCTCACCATGAATTCCGCTGTTTCTAAGTTTAAGTTTAAAGACATACTTCAAAGTGAATATGGTTTGATGATCTTATGTATCTGTTAATACTTAACCAGGATGTGAGTGTGGATGAACGTGAATAATCTAAAGAGATCACACATCTGCACTCACGTCCACACCCACACTCCACACATTCTTCATCTGATTCTCAAATTCGTTCCATAAATTATCTATAAGATTCCGATCTGGTAAATATGACAGTGCCAGAATTTTCTTCTAGGATGAACGAAACTTATCCAGAGGTTTTACGACTGATCGGAGATGAAAATTTAAAAGGCTTAACTGCTTTCTTTTTCAAATCTCGAATCACAGAAGTTTTTCATAAGAAAAATCTGGGTAACTCTGGATTTTCGGTTCATCATAAGTAATAGGCACGCCCGTATGGCCGACTGAGACAATATCTATTTCTAAACTTTGTCAAGTTGTATCTTTCTTTCCATTTTGAGAATCATTCTTGAAAAACAAATATTGCGAGCATCACTGACTTCATCAACAAAAATATGAAAGAATGTTTCTGAGTTTCATTATTGCACAATATGAAATATTATTTACTACTCTTTTTAGTATGAAAGAAAATAAATCATGAAGCATCAGCTAAAATCATGTTACTACTCGTGTAATGACTGCGAAGAATCACTACATAGTACTTGTTTAATACCTATTCCAAACGTAGCTTCCGTTTATCGAAATTTCAATTCCATAAGATGACTGTCTTTCATTAATTTTTCGAATACAATATATGATTTAATTTCATGTTAGAAATACTTCTGTTATAAGTAACTTGTGATATCAGTATTGTTCGGAGGACTATTATGATTCAGATAATATTCGAAACTACAATTGACAGCAGTAGAATTCCATTTAAAACTTAAAGTGTGTTCGAAAGGTCTAGATCTAAACATCATTTCAATGACAAGAAATCTTTTTATAGTGCGCTTAAATTCCCGTTTATTTGATCAGTCACCGTATGCGTAGAATTGTTTTCGTAAAAATTAGATCATATAATTTTAGCAGTTTTGTGACTCTTAGAGATGGTCAGCTCAATAGAGATAGAAAATATACTTTGTGAATATATGCAAAAAAAACATTTAAGAATGCTTTGGTGAAAAGTGTCACGCTCCAAAATTTTGCTAATTTCTTAAAGACACTTGATCAAGTGATTGATCGAGCTCTTTAATCTGAACATATTCGTTTTATTTCTATGAGCATCCTAATTAGCAATTGGTAACCTGCGTATCTGAAGAAATATTTCTGAACAGAATAATATCCGTTTGGACATTCAGAATAAATAGATGATGTTTATGCTCGTTTGACCTATCTAATTTATCTGCGCGACACTTTCCCATGCATTAGGGGTCAACGATAGAAACATTATAGTCGCATTTCGTATAAGTCGACTTATCGTGAAGAACAATAATGGAAACTGATGTTGTCGAACAAATCGAGTAAGTTTAAGAATTTCTGAATTTTGAAGATTGTAACTAAGATCAATAGAATTATTTCTCAAGTACCATTCAAGTTTTTCTACAGATAATTTAATAAATACGTAAATCAATGAAGAACTGTTCACTGGTGAATCATGTTTTCATTCATGTTTTATAGTTAACACAAATTAGAGAAGGAAAACGAACCAAACCAGTGAAATCCGGTTGGATTCGGTCTTTGGTTTACATCAACTATAGATAGAACTCATCCGTGCGAATAGATTCTAGTCTGACTGAAAAGAAATGGGATATTTGTAGTTTCTATATTAATTTTTAGAAGAATGACCAAATTCGAATCAATGTCTAATGAGCTATTAACGAAAGCATTTAAATATTATGATTTCTATTCAATCTTCTCATTATTTGCTTCAATTAATTCTCTTTTTGATGCTCTTATTAATCGTTGCCAACTTCATGTGGGTGTGGGCGTGTGTTAAGATAAGATGAAACGACATCCGTAGTCATATACACCTGAATTTCTTTTTTCGTAACGTTAGAACGATCTAAACTTGTTTAACAGCGAAAGACTACAGTTAAATTGAGATGCCTTGCCGAATGGGAGAAATTCAAACGATAAGATAAGAAACATCATGTTAGAGAGTGGAAGCCACACGATGCAATATTTACTTTTACCTGAAGGAAAAATTATTCATGCTGATATAGAATACAAGATAAGAAATATTTCACTTTTATTCACATAATATGTCTAATAATCCTATGCAAAATTCTCGAGGGCAGACGTGCGAATCAAAATCAAGTATTTTAGATCTAGTATTTCTTACGAGAATAATATCCTATTTTCGATATTCATAATCGATGGTTTGCATGTTGTCTCTTAGTTGGTACATAAAAATGTGCGTGTCATTCATAGTCTCAGTCAGAATAAATGAAATTTTTGGCTAAGCAACAGTGCAGAAATCGGTGAAAATTATTCCGGATTTTTTTTCTCAATAATACAAAATTGAATCTGTTTGCTTTGAAAAGCAAATTCTAGTCACAAAAAAGAAACAAATTGAAATTTAGTATTCGTTTTATTGAAAAAGACATTCCAGTAAAGTATGTGATCTCGCAACTTGAGTTTTCATTTTCTGTTAAGCTCTTTTAAAACGTTTACGGATTCGAACATAGTCATCAATATCATTTTGCAAGTTTAATCTAATAATATGTTAAGTTTGTTTTTAATGTCAATGCGAAAAATCTCCTCGTCAAATTTACAGGGTGATTGAAAAGTAACTCCCTATTTTAAATTCTTTATTACTCTCATACAACAAAAGATATCGTTCTGATTTTTTCACCATCTTGAAGCATGGACTATACCATTTTGTTCTAGATCAAATAAGTCGATTGATTATCTGACTGTCTAAGACAACGCATGAAGTTCGTTTAGAGAATACATGAAAATGATTTTTTATTTTGAACCGGTTACCGAAGTATCTCTGTAGTAATAGCTAGAATAATTAGGACAGCGGTATTTTTTTCGCTACTTTGCAAGGTTGTAATGCAAAGAAGATGATGTCATGTATCTCTTTTATAACTACGCAATAAGTGAAAGTTAAGAGTAAAATGTAGAATAAGAGAAAAAGAAGAAAATAATTTTAGAACATCAATAATTGTCGCTGATGGATAGAGAAAGAAAAGAAAAGAAAAGAAAAGAATATAAGCTTTATCTATCGGGAAAAAAGAAGAGAAAGAAAAGGAAATGACCCTACATGTATATATACACCGAAAAAGAGAACAAACTCTAACAGAAATCATTTATTGATCGTACAGAACAACAGATATAAAAACAATTCCTCCGTTAATTTGACGTGTAAAACCACTTTGTTTCAAAGAAATCATTATGACCAAACGACTAACTGTTCAAGATCGAACATTAATTGCAGCTCGATATGAGATATGGCAGTCGGTGATTGAAGTACAAAGATGGTGGAGGAGTCAACGGGGCAGAAATGCGACACTTGATGCAAAAACTATCAAAAACTGTCATCGGAAGTTAATGACAACTGGTTCTGTATGCGACACTGAACGCTCTGGAAGACATTCAACCTCTCGTTCACCGGAGGTTGTTGATATTGTTCGAGAAATGTTTACTCGAAGTCCAGAGACCTCAATTAGAAAGGCCTCGTTAGACAGTGGTTTGACATATTACGCAATTCACTCTGTTCTGAAAAAAGAACTGAATTATCGTCCATGGAAACCTCATTTAGTACAACAGATTTTTCCGGAAGACTGTGATATTCGTATGGAGTTCAGTGAAACCATGCTCGACTGGAAAGACGACTGGCCCGGATTGTTTGACAACATTTTGTGGTCCGACGAGGCTATTTTCCATGTTGGAGGGTTTGTAAATCGACACAACTGTCATTATTGGGGTGATAAAGATCCAGGTATGACGATTGAGAAGATGCAATCACAACCGAAAATCGTGGTATGGTGTGGATTTACCTCTACCAAATTCATTGGTCCATATGTGTTATATGACACCATGAATGGTGAGCGATATCTGACGATGCTACAAAACTTTGTGTGGCCTGTAATTAGTCAATGGAACAACATCGATAAACTAATATTCATGCACGATGGTGCACCGCCTCACTATGCACGCGCAGTTCGGAATTGGCTCGACAACAATTTCCCTTTAAAATGGATAGGTCGAAGAGGACCAACATCGTGGCCTCCAAGAAGTCCCGATCTCACTCCGTGCGACTTCTTCCTTTGGGGTTGGGCAAAGGATGAGGTGTATAAAACCAATCCGAAAAATTTGACAGCATTAGAAGAACGAATTCGTACTGTCTTCAACAACGTTCCTCAAGAATTTCTGAAGAGTTCAACGGACAACGTTCAAGTTCGATTACAAAAATGTATCGATAACGAAGGAGGTTATGTGGAATTTTAAGGCATTCTATATTACGAAACTAGATACACTTCAAAACAGTTATAAAAAGTCGTTATTGTATCTGTTTTCCTGTAAGAATAATAAACTGCTTAAAAGATGAATCATTTTCATGTATTCTCTAAACGAACTTCATGCGTTGTCTTAGACAGTCGATAATCAATCGACTTATTTGATCTAGAACAAAATGGTATAGTCCATGCTTCAAGATGGCGAAAAAATCAGAACGATATCTTTTGTTGTATGAGAGTAATAAAGAATTTAAAATAGGGAGTTACTTTTCAATCACCCTGTATTAGACCCTAAAAAATTGATCTAAAAAACTTTAAAAGATGTGCCTCCGATTCAGTTTTGTATTTGTTCCATGCAATGGTTGTACCTTATTTAGTACTTTTAAGTTTAGAGGAATAATTATGTAGACTTGGGAATGATGAATATTTATCTTTTGAGAGTTTTTTGAACCTTGATTCTAGTACTAGTTGACATCATTCATGACTTTTTGCATGTATTTTCATTTCTACATATGACCTGATATGTGTATTTTCACATCCTATGTTGCTTTATATATAGAAAATTAATGAGAAGCATCGGATTGGTTTCTTTATTGGCAGAAAATAAATTATTTTGTTTTTCTACGACACCTGCAACAGAACACAAAAAATATGGTCTTTCTTTACGATTGATGTTGATAATAAAGCAAAAAATCACATAAACACACTCGATTCCACGTGGTATTCGTAAAAAACAGAAAGGCAAACGAAAACGAAGTAGAAAAAGACTCTTATTGTCTTGACAATAGTCTTGAAAAATTGCTTTTCTTTTGTTCATTAACAGCCAGCTGAAATGAAATTCCCTAATGGAAGTGAGCAGACATGATTTATTGTTATTTTGGTAAGGTTGAGTAAAACAGTCCAATTAGCTACATTCTTTTTTCATCTCCGCAGTAACTTCATTTTGAATACCTTTTTTGTTTTTCGTCATACTCTGAAAAATTTTGCCAACAAAGATTACTTTTGGTTGAGTAATTTGTTGACATTGCACAATAGAGACATGTGTTTTTTTTTCTTTTTCACTATCTCTTCTAGTTTCATTCCTCAATACACTCCCATTCAAATATTAAGATTATGGCAACGGTACAGAGTGAGTCTTGCAGCGTTAAAGATTGCACAATAAAAGCCATAGCGATTTGTTTGGGATGCCCACAGATGTTTTATTGTCATGATCATTTTTTACAGCATCGTGAGGGTCTCAATCGACAATTAGAAATACTTTCAAATGAACGAGATGGTCTTTTACATAAAATAGAACAGCAGAAAGTTGAATCTGAACAACATGCATTGATGAAAAAAATCGATGAATGGGAACGTGATTCGATCACTAAGATTCAACAAATGGCAAAAGAAGCCAAACAAACATTGCTGTCTCATGTTGCTAAGTTCATTTCGAGAGTGGAGCAGCGCTTGAACCTGTTAACGGATGAACTTCGTCAGAAGCCTAGCAAGAATACTTTTGTGGACACAGACATAACAAAATGGAAACAAGAACTAGAACAATTAAAGGTATTACTCGAGAATCCGCCAGATTTGAAAGTACAAGAAGATTCAACACCGCTCGTGACCAAAATTCAAGTAAAAACATCAACCCAACGTGAGTCTGCTCATTAAATTATGTGTGCACTGAAGAGGCAGAGAAATTCGTTGTAAAAAGAAGTAATCAACCATACTGTGAGGAAGACAGTTGTTCTCACTATGCAAGTAAATGAATAGTTGCATTAGAAGTTGTATCATAAATTTTCTCAATACTTCCATAAATTGAAGTAAAGCAGTCAAGTGACTACATAGGCGAAGATAGCTGTTCTGTACAAAGTATTGCTCAAAGAGAAGTTCAATGCCAAAATCATTTAATTTAAATAATTATGTTTTAGCAAATCGATACTCGCCTAAGAAAGTCTTCAATTGTAACGAAAAAGTTACAATATGCATTTAGATGAATGAAAACCAGTATAGCATACAAAAGTTATGTGCTACTTTTTCGAGACTTATTTCTCACTAATCAAATATTATATTGACTTCAATTTTCTTTTATTCAAAAGCTTAAAATCTAGTAGATAAACTGAATCAAATAAATAAAAATAATGACGTTCTATGTCTCGAGTTAAACGTCAGATACTCACTTGAACAGTTCAACTTTCACAAAAGTTATGCTATACTATTCTTTTTCGTATTTTTTATCTTTTTTTTTTCTTTGTCATCCATTCCTATGTTTTGCCATTTTCTCTATACCAGTCTGCATGATTTTATCTTCTCATACGACCTTCTCTTTTTGTCTTTTGACTTCATCAAACGTTTTCTTTTTTTTTGTTTCATTCTCATGATATTGCGTATACTAGGTGGGTAAAAATGTTTTTCCAGGGGGGTAACACTGTTATTTCAAATGGCATACATAACTAATTTTACACTTAATTAAAGCCCGTCGAAAATGGGATTTCTTGATACTAAATTGTAAGTGTTATCAAAACATTTTGATNAATTTCAGATCGAAATATCGTCATTCGATTTGTTAGCGTATACTATGCTATAGGCGAAAATTCCAGTAAAATGGCTATAACTCTGAACGAAAGGCCTATGGGCCCTTATCTTTTTGGGGTTTTTCATATCTTACTGGGATCTACCTTATGCACAGAGTTCGAACTCAAAACCGATTAATCACTTCGGGTACCTCCCTCGTTAGAGTAGCTTGCTAAGTCTCATCATGTTTTGACTTATAATTTGGGTAATATAGGAATTCATACGTTGTACTATAGTATAGCTATCGTCCATGGTTGAGTAAGATGAAAGATCACTCATTTTTGATCACCTCTTTAGTCTTGGTGCAATGTTTTTCTGCATCCTGATCCGAGTAATTTTGTTGCACAAAATGTTTTGTTCACTTACACTGAGTTAAGTGTAAACCCCTCGTTTTTTTACCGAAGTAGCGTCACGAAGACGTGTAGATGCCAAGAATTATGTTGCTGACACCTGCCTTAGTTCTGCCAATATTGCAAACGAGAAGTACGCACTGTAACAGCAGTTTTTTTCAATATGTATGTCCGTGCGACAATACAACTCATGTCTTCAACCTTCCATGAATGAATTCAGCGGAAATACGAACGATTCTCCATGTCTTATCATAATCCAGAAGCAGAGCTAACAAACTTTTTTCGAAAATCCACATCAGTCATGCTCGATCCCTAATGTCAAATGATTTAGGCTTTCATTAACGTGCAAGGCTGCAAAATCCACTTAATATTGATCCAAAATGTCCGAGAGACAAATAATCTCATTATTTTGTGCTGCTCAAATTTTACGGGCGTGTAGTACCCTTTTGTTGGAACTTGCTATCCAAGACTTCTAGGCTCATTTGCAGAGTATTGAATCAATCTTTTTTCTGGTATCAAATTAATGCATAAAAATTACTCTCAATGCCTTTAAATTATGCCTTCATACAACAACGTAGTTCAATGATTCGTCGAATCAAGAGCAAATTTTGGGTAATGGCTATGCTACATATCTTGCTATTTCTTCACATATGCTGTCAAGAAATTTTATACAGAAGTAGAACAAAGATACTTCATCGAGTGTCACCGCCTATACCTATTTCATTGTATCTTTTGATATTTAACATAGTAAAAGCGAGAACTCTAGAGTAGAAGCATCAGTTTTATCGTCAGTACATATTTTAACGAGTGTTGCGAAGCATTTCGAGCTGTCACTGTTATATATCCATCCAAAACAGCACTATTTTCGCGAGAGATCTGCGAAGTAGCGCATTTTTGACTCTGAATTTCTTTTTTATTAATTCTGATTCCGGTTCAGGTTCCTAGTTTCCACTACTATATAATGACAAACTGCAAGGCTATATAACGTTTGTTCTCATAAAACTTTACCACTAATGTGGATTGAAATTTTACGGAAGTCATAATCAAACTAAATCTTGATGGAATTAGCTGACATTTTCAAGGATAACATCGTTCAATAAAATTTGCATGTTTCAAAAATTTCAAGAGCATAGGACACACTTTCTGAATCGTACTTAATTGGTTAGAAAATGCTCCCAACTCGTTACATAATCATCTGTATGGCAAATGAAATAAAGACTCTTATTGCTTGTTCAATTAAGTTATTTTTGTCTTAAAGTTTATGTTGCTTTAATCCGCCACATTTATATTTTTATACTAATGTGTGAAACTGAATTATGTAAAATTTATCCTTGTATAGTTGAGACGTGCTGTCCTCTATTCTGATAGAAGAATCCAAAGTGACCAGTACCTGGTGGCCAATGTATATTCGTAGCGACGCTTATTGGATAAGTTTTTGAAAGTTCTTGCCATTGGCGAGCTATTGTATCAGCACCGACTTCGTTGTGTAAGAATCTATAAGCAGCAAAGTCACCCCATATTGTTCGTGCGCGCCATTTTGTGTAGGCTATTGCATGAGTGCAATAATAAACGCCACGACGAAACTCAACCAAGCCATCAAGCGAAAAGTGGATCTTTGTACCATTATTCACATAGACGGGTCCACACGTACCAAGATATAGAATTCCATCATGCTTCGCCAATTCAATACCTTCCTCGATAGTTTCTATTCAAAATGAATGACGTAAGTAGTGGTTACCATGTAATTGTTTACAATGATAAACAAGATCTATCGATATGCGCGTGTCTTAAAACCTAAGGAATGACTATTTTTTCAAAATAGAATAAATTTTGTCATCATCAGGATATCTCAAAAAACCTACAAAGATGCAAAAAGATCATTTCTAGTGTACTCTGGAAGTATCCCATAGGATGCTTGAAGTGCGACTAGGTACGAACAGTAATCGATTCTACGTTTTCCATGTTTTCAAATTATTTTCCATCCAGTAAACTATATTTTTTTTCGTGAACAATGACCAAAAGAATGAATGAATGTAAAATTCAGAAGTGATTTCTCGTTGGAACTCTCAATGAGATATTATCGAGCATCAATGTATTTTAAAACGAATTTTCTTAGACTATGAGTTTCTTTTTAATTTTTAATAACAAATCATTTGATGATCATACCACTACTTTTTCATGCGTTTGAAAACTCTTCTAGTTGATTTTTGTTAGATTAGTTTTTTAGTCATCGCGTTTTCGACTGAAACATCGAATTTACAATAGTCATTTTTTTCTATGCAACACAAGCAGTTCTTTCTTAATGCCGCATACCGGAACTCTTTCGTTAAAAAGTTGATCGATGCGACTCAAAATGGATATATTATTGTCATATACGGCATAATAACTAGGATTTTAGACTGGATATTTGCTTTAAAAAACTTACATATCACATTTGAACAGCAATAAAAGCATTCTTGCTAAATATGAATAGGATATGTTCAGCTTCAAAAGTCAGAAAAAACAAATGATTCTCAAGTGCAGCGGCGAAATTTTGCATGTTTCAACTAAAATTTTCAAAAATCAATAATTTCAGAGGAAAAATCATTTCTTCGGGTGCGAACACATGATTTTGGGGCACCGAGAAACTAACACCTACTATCGATGAAAAGTAAGTCCGTAGTTAGGAGACAACAACTTTCCGTACTCCTATTCGGTAAAACATAACGACAAACATGCTTCCTCTAAGCTAATATTCTGAGACTGTGGATAAAGCCTTAGTAGATATAAGAAGTCTTTAAGAGTAGACCATTTTCCGTAGTCTCTATCTTACAAATGCTTACGATTATCATGGATTGATTCAATCGTTTCTGAACAAAAGCTTCAATAACACCCACTTAGATCCTTCAGAAAATATTGCTAGGCCTTTTGTTTCCTCATTCTTTGTAATTCTTATAATTTTCTTCATTCGACAGCAGACATGGCATGTTCTTGCAGAGTAATATCTTAGCCAGATTGTAACAAAGCCTTACGAAAAATCTAAAAAATAAAAAGTGGCTGTGTTTGAAACCTGCTATATCTTTATATCAGAAGCTATTTTCCTGATGTCTTGACATAAAAATTATTGAAGTAGATACTAAACATTACTTTTTGAATTTCTTACTATTTTTTATGATTAATCGACTGCTCTCTCGATCTTATTCCAATTCTTCAGGTTGAATATAAACTCTTAATTCACCATTGAACATACCGCTATATAAAAAGACTGTTTTGAAGGATAAGGCTAGTGATGGCAATAATGCGATGATTCTATTGAAATATTTCCCACCCTATGCGAGAACAACACAGTATTCTGTGGCTAGTGATAACAAAGGACGGAAAAATTACTACAACCAGTTGGCGAACAATATGAACTTGGTTGAGAAGAATATATTCTCATCCTGAAACAATCTGACGTAAATAGGGTTATGTTTTGATAACTAATTGTCCACTGCTTGATTAAACATAAATTTTCTCTTGCCACTTGGTTGACTATGAAATGGTATAAACATTTTCATTTTATAACAAGGATGCAGTGCAACGGATAAATTCTTCGGCTTATGGTCTGCTTAAAATATTTTCAGTTTATGTTGAAGACCCAAACTTCGATTCTCTGAATATACACTAATCAATTTTTCCTTTTATCTGTCAAAATTTTTAGTCAGATCTTAACAAATGCTAAAGCGTGCAGCTACTTTCATGTTACCTAGATTCGATTAAAATTTGGGC